AGGATCATCGATTGTGTTATGGGAACCTAGTTCGGATGGTAAACTACATGAAGATCCGCTTCGTTGAGCTTAGTGTTGATCCGGACGATAGTCAAGCTATCTACCATCACAGTTTAATGTTGAGGGTAAGATTTTAATCGGAAGCACAACAGTAACTGATTGCTACCGCTTGACCACCAATACCGTTGCCATCTCATATCTGACCGGAAGTATATTTCCAACACTGATTCGAAACCGCTGTTGTCCAGTCAGACACACCTGAATGCGCCCCGATCGATATATTAGATTATTATATTTCATACTCGTCTGAGCGTCCAGAACTCCTATATAAATGCTCCCAAAGGACCAAGCACCTCAAATGGCTTCTGCTGAGGAAGTCCTACCCACTGCCTTCTCGTGGCGGAGGTGTGAACACTAAAGTGGGAGGGCAAAGGCTAATGCCCGGCGTTTTCCACCGGATTGACTGACCACTGGTAGTCATTCTAGGGAAGTTGGCTAAACCCTGATTCCAAACCACCCACACCTGGCGTAAGAAGCTCATATTGGCACCAATCTTCGGCTCAACCGAAACGGTCTCCAAAGTTAATCTTTGGAGTTGGCCACCGTGATGCTCAACGGCAAATGCGCGATTCAAGGACAATCTGGGTACCCTGGAAAGTTGGCCGTATCAGAAAGGCGCATGAACTGCCCCCCCTCCCCAGTCATCGGATCCCAGAGGATTGTGGACTCCCTACTCCACCCAACTGTCTTGCGGATCAGGTTCTTTAACCAAAGGTTCCGGGTAGGGCTTTCCAAGAAAGCCCTCTACCTCGGCCTGGGCAACCGGGTAGTACCACGCCCACAAACTAACCATGGACTTTGGACACACACGCATGTTACAGATTATTACACCTTTGTAAAGCTTTCTCTTAAAATCGAGTCAGGGTTTTTGAGCAACTCCCCTAGGTGAACTACGAGTGGTACACTAACCCGGTTATAGCCCCGGATATCGGCTTGTCCTTTCACTTTGGTGGGAAAACAATTCCGCCACGAGAAGAAAGTGATTAGGGCTTCCTCATCAGCGGTGGTTTGAGGCACTGGGTCGTATGGGAGCATTTCGCGAGGTGCAAGGGAAGGGTAACCAACAGTAAACCTAGACACCCTCCCCGACCATACCGAGGATTTCAGAGGCTCTCGATCAATACCGTCTTACTTGTCGATCTTGTGTATTTGGAGAATCACATCAATGTTAAGAAACCCGCATTAAAAAAGGGGCGAATTGTCCGGCCACAGAGTTTCCTAAACGGACAGTCCAATAAACAGATTATCATACAAACATAAAAAGAAATAAAAAGGTTTTGTGAATAGCCCACAGAGTCCCATTGGTTTCTTTTGGCGACCAGTACATTCGGTATTGTGATGGAACAGGTACCTCAAGATGAACACATTCATCCGGGAAAGTTACACAATCAAGGCTTTCACATAGCGGACGTCCGTTCAAGGGGTGAGATATATGAGACAGCTATCCTATAATTTATTCTCTTAGTTAAATGGTTGTTGGTGATTTTCAGCTGTGACTGCGCAGTCCTCAAGTAGAAAAATTGTAACTTTTGTATGTGCCACCTGAGTTTTCTGCTAAATGGCGAAGAGCAATTCAAATCTGTTCCTGGAGGTTGTGAAAATTAGTCCAATGCGCTTTCTGATTGACACAAAGTCAGTTATCTCTTGCGGTAACCTTATGCCTTTTGTCTTCTATCGACTTGTGCGGACACTTAGGCTTATAGTACATTCTGGAGAGAAAAAGCACGTGTAATCTTGAAATAAGCTGTTTGCATTCTTTACCAATGAACGGGTTCGATAACAATTTACTGAGTAGTCAAGTACCGAGATCGACCCCACCACCGCATCCGTTGTCGATTTGGCCACACTCACGGATATTTGTCTGTCCACCTGGTGGATTTGCAATACCGAACGAGAACCACTCGAGTGAGACAGCCTAGCGCTTTAGCTAAGCCAATGTTCACAGTTCATTCATGGAAGAAGTTCAATTCTAGCTTACTTGGTCATTAACTTTGCACAGTCGTACTCTAGTTGAGGTTAGTGTCTATCGGTTATCCGTTTGGTTATTCACGCAGGAAGAAATATGGGGAAGAAGCAGAAAGCTCGGAGCAGCATCAGCTTAAAGATAGAGAATACACATAAGCTTGATCTGAATAGAAAGTGGGTAAGTGCACGACCGCGCTTTACAATAGTCAGTTAAATTAACCGGTGTCTGTAACCCTTTAGGTTAAATGTGCAGTCTATTAGCTTACACACGTTATACAAATACAAACTCATCGATTAGGTTGTCTACCAGCTGCTCCACCAGGAAATCCCACAGTCTTCTGGACTTTTTTCCAACTACAACTTGACCCGAGAAAAAATCCATTGAACTCCGAGAAAGCCTATCTGGTAGCATATCCCTTCACTTCCACAAAATTCAATGGTTCTCAAGCCTGTGAGTCAATGTGTAATCACACTTTTCAACGGCCTACTCCCAGAACGCATCTTTTGTGTTTTTTTACATGCACTGTATCCCCATTTGTTTATTAACCCCTTTTCCGGCTGTATGATCTCCGCCAAACGCNTATGTATCAGTCTGTTTTACGTCCATTTCTCGTCTCGCCTCCATTCTCTCTTTTCCACAGTGATATGGTCTACGCTGGACAGTATTCTGTTGGACGTCGCAAAGGTAAGTCTCCTGTAGTCATCGGCTCCGGAATCATTGTCGGATCGGATATCGTGCAATCTCGCAAATGTTATCCTCCCATGATTAAGTTTGTTTGAAGAATTTTTTTATTGCACACGAGTTCCACGCAATCTATCAAAAACAATTGTAACGTCATTAGTTGCTTCAATTTTCCCTGTCCGTGTAGCTGGTGAATCTTTAGTGTTTTTCTCATGGGAATCATTTTACCATCAGTCACCGCAATGTCGCAAACTAATCATATAGTAACAGACCGGAAGCAGAAATTCAAACCAGGTCGAAGGTGAGCAACGCCGCATGTGTGGGTTTGGTAATCACCGAATCCGACCGCATTTTGTGCGCATCATACTTTGTATT